GTGATTTCTACAAAATCCCGAGTGATAGTAACCAAATAGAAATTAGTTAATTATATACTATAATAAATGATAAGATAATGTAAAAAAGTTAATTGAACAATTAATATATTTAATAACTAAAAAATCATAGACATTTTTTGTATGGAATAATGGAAATGTCCATTTTAAGTTTTAAATAAGTTTTTTTCCACATTTTCAAAATAATTTTTATAAGAATATTTTTTTAAAAATAGTATAAATTGTTTCAAACTCATTTTTCATAAACTAAATAAGTAATTTTAACATCTGGTAATATAATATTCATTACTTATAATTTATCATAATTAAAGTTACCTAGTTTTCTTAAAAGAAATATCTCAAAAATAACATTTAGAAAAATAATTTCAAAATAGATTCAAATTCAAGTGGCTTTAAAAAAAATGATTTCATATATTAAGTCACAGAAAAAGGATTTATATCTTTGATTATTAATTTAAACAAATTAAATTAAAAGTAAGTTTAAAATTTAAGAGAGAGTAAACTAATTTATATTAAAATACTCTTACAAACTTAACGACAAATTGTTTTTATAATAAAATAAGATTCAAATAAATTTTCAATTACTTGTTCCATTATACTATAAATAGATTTATATAGTGTCATTTGAGTTTATTTAACGATATTTATCATTTCATTTAGTTTGATATTTCAAAACAAGAATTATCTCTTATCCCAAATTATTGACACCAAATCTAGCAAAATAATACTCATAACTTAGTAAATTAAAAGGATGCAACCGATTAGAAATAGTAAATTTATATATTGTTGAAAAATAGCATGTTTGTAACGACTTATTGTCATCTTATTAGAAATTAATGATACTATAAAATATTCATAAATTTTAACATCTAATAAGTATAGAAAGAAATTCAGCACAAGTCTTCATCTTAGAAATATCTAAATTTTAAGATACATGAATTTAAACGATGGTGGGTGGAGTTTTAGTTTCTTCAACAAATGGAAGACAATATAAAGGAAAGGTTACAATATTTGTTTTGGTCACATGTTTGGTGGCGGCCATGGAAGGTCTACTTTTTTGTTATGATCTTGGTATTACAGGAGGAGTGACTTTCATGGAATCATTTTTGGTTAAATTCTTTCCTGGTGTTTACAAACAAATGAAAGATGAATCTGGACACGAGAGCCAATATTGAAAATTTGACAACGAACTCCTTACTTTGTTCACATCTTCCTTGTACCTTGCTGCTTTAACAACTTCTTTCTTTGCTTCCACAACTACAAGAATGTTAGGACGCAAGGCCTCAATGTTTGCAGGTGGCTTGTTTTTCCTTATTGGTGCATTTCTCAATGGTTTTGTTGTCAACATTGAAATGATTATCATTGGTCGCCTATTACTTGGTTTTGGCGTAGGATATTATAATCAGGTAAAAACCAATATTGTTTTTATGCTTTTATTGTTTTAGAGGTGCGCTCAACACGGGCTTCCAAATGAAGATCACTATTGGAATCCTATGGGCAAACATTGCCAACTACTTTACGAGCTTTAAATCGATCAATCTTACCACCTGGACCAACTTTCACTGTATAAAGCCAACGACAACCTACTAAAGATTTCCCAGGGGATAAAGGAACCAGTTCCTAGGTACCACTGTTTTAAAGAGCACACATTTCATCAATCATTGCTTGCCTCCACTCATGGTGAGGTAATGCTTCACCTGGAGTGTTAGGGATAGAAACAAAAGACAAAGAAGACAAACAAGTATACTGCAAAGGGGAAAGACAATGATAACATAAATCAATATAATATGGAGAAGGATTTCGTGTTTGACGTATACCTTTTCGAACGGCAATTGGAAGATCGGAATCATGTTGCAGGATCGGATCCAATGATGACGAGAGCTTCAGAGGAGAGTCTGCAATGACCTCAGGGACATGTACGACCTCGGGGACAGGTATGACTTCAGTGACAGATACGACAGACGTTGGTTGATGATGCTGATATGTTTAAAGTGGACGAGAGTTGGGGGGTTAACCATAGGGTTATCTAGTGGGCCAAGTTCTCTAGAATGATAGGGGATAATGATATATGGGACTTATTGAAGAGGCGTGGGAGTACTCTCCTGAAAGGGTTCCAGAGTTACTTGGCTGGACTCAAAATATGGAACATACTCGAAGAAGGTGACATCGAGTGACACGAGGTATCATTGTAGGGTATGTGAATAACAACGATAACCTTTTTTGGATTGATGATAACCAAGAAAAACACAATTTAGTGATCGAGCTGATAGTTTATCAAGACCACGAGAGAGATTGTGTACAAAACATGTAGATCTGAATACTCGGTAATGAATTGGGTGAAGGAGGAATGGGGAAAAAGGATTGAATGAGAGATTTTATTATTAAGGACGGAAGATGGCATGCGATTTATAAGGTAACATGTTTTTAGCACAGCGTCTCCCCAAAATTGAAGTGGAACATTACCATAGAGAAGTAGGATCCGAGTGGTTTCTACAAAATCCCGAGTGATAATAACTAAATAGAAATTACCTAGAAATATCTCAAAAATAATTTCAAAGTAGATTCAAATTCAAGGGGCTTTAAAAAAATGATTTCATATATTAAATCACAGAAAAAGGATTTATATCTTTGATTATTAATTTAAATAAATTAAATTAAAAGTAAGTTTAAAATTTAATAGATAGTAAACTAATTTACATTAAAACAGTCTTACAAACTTAACGACAAATTATTTTTATAATAAAATAAGATTCAACTAAATTTTCAATTACTTGTTCCATTATACTATAAATAGATTTATATACTGTCATTTGAGATTTATTTAACGATATTTATCATTTCATTTAGTTTGATATTTCAAAACAAGAATTATATTCTTATCCCACATTCTTATAATAGTATATTGACACCAAATCTAGCAAGATAATGCTCATAACTTGTAAATTACAAGGATGCAACCGATTATAAATACTAAATTGATATATTGTTAAAAAATTGTATGTTTGTAACGATTTATTGTTATCTTATTAGAAATTAATGACATTATAAAATATTTCATAAATTTTAACATCTAATAGGTATAAAAAGAAATTCACCACAAGTCTCCATCTTAGGAAACATAAGTTGATTCTCACAGACAACGTCACTAATCTATTATGGAAACATAAATGGTGTTGATTATAGAAAATACGGAAGATCGGAGCTTCTGATGCACTATGTTGATGTGACTATGAGGATCGAAGGTTATGATCAAGGTGTTTTTTAAACCAATGGTATTAATGTTGATATGGTTCTGTGAAATAATGTTGTTATCTCAGATATAGTGGATCTGAGATGGGTAACTGTATGGTTAGCACTCCTATGTCCAAGTCAGTTTAGGATTCAATATCAAAGATTGTGAAAGTGAAGTTCAGAGATTATGTACCTTAGAACCCTTTACAAATGTATTTATACTTTGGGCCTGACAGAGTAAGCTATGTAATGGACCTCGTGCTATTGGGCCTTTGGCATGTGTGGATTAGTGGGTCTTTGGTCTTCAGCCGATACAGAAGAGTTAGTAAATTAACTTAAATGGATAGAGAAAATTGGTAACTTCACCAAGCTAGTATTTAAGTCAAAATGAAGAAAAAAAGTTTCCATCAATTCCATTGTCTCAAAAATCTGAGTTGATAGAGAGTTCTAAGAGAAAAAGATAAAGAATGGCATGCGGGGCAAAAGGAGAAGGAGAAGAATGTTTGATTCCAGCATTTTGCACGTGTGAAATTGAGTGCATAGAAGAAGAATCAAATTTGAATTGATCAAAATCTTCAAGAGTACATCATCATCTCCATTCTTTCTCCAAAATTTAGGTTTTAAGTTGGGGTTCTTAGGACTTAATTGGGAATAGAACCATTAGGAACAAAGCATGGGAAAAATGAGATTATAATCTATGATTACATGTTTGACTTCTGTGAATTTATGAAAAACATGTCTATGATTTTGATTCCTTGTGAATGATTACTTGCAAGTTCCCCTATGACATATTTCTAATCCTTATACTATGTTAGAACATGATTGCATATTGGTAGAATTGGAGAAAATGTGAGTAACGAAGTGAAATCGGGTTCTGCACAGGCTTGTCGCCAGTTACAGTTAGAGTATAGCCAGTTACCACTCGTGAAAATGGCCCATTTGAAAGTCACAACAAACATGTAACTAGTTGCGTATTTGGTGTACATGGTTACCACCCCGAGAAATTGGCCATACATGAGTAAGTAGTGGCATGTAACCAGTTACACCATTAGGTAACTGATTACATGCCTTATAATTCCTCAAATTTAATTGTTTATTATTCTTTTCATGAGAGATTGGCGAGTTTTGAAATTAATGAATAAATCTAAGATCATCTAGCACATGATAGAGAAGTAAATGATTAAAGTTTGTATGTATGTTGCTTGATGAATAATTAATGTAAAATGAGACATTGGCTTCATGTAACCAGTTACACCATTTCAGTAACCAATTACATGTTAGAAACCACCATAAGTTGAGTCTCAGAACTCTTATTTTGGCACACGAAGCTGTGTCAGAAGGATAATTCAAAGTTATACCTTATGGTGAAATGAAAATTAATATTTTATGTTGAATTATCTATAGGATGATTGAAAATACATGTAAATTATATGCTTTATTTTGGTATGATTGAAATTTACATGTAGAACATGTAGGGTAGACAACACTAGTAATTAAGTTAAGAATCCTAATCAATTGTGTTTTGTTGTATAATAGAAGAAGTATATAAAAAAATCAAGAAGTGAGAGAAACCATAATATGAACTAAGGATAGGAAACTAGTGATGAAACCTAGGATAAAAATATGTATTCTAGAAACTGGGAAACCCTAGGATCATGTTGGAATCTGACGGCAAGTAATAATGGGAAGTGTGATGGCACTTCCAGTTTGGCAAGTACTGATAATATTGATTCCAAAATGAATAAAGTGTAATGAGTATACTGAACATTGAGACTCTTAGGGTTTGTCGTGAAAGGGAGCAAAAAGAAGGAGTTAATAAAATATTGCAAAAGATTCATGGCATTGATAATGTTGATGAGGAGTTCCAAGATCTAATTGATGCTAGCGAGGAAGCCAAAAAGGTGGAACATTCGTGGAAGAATATTACACAATTGAGACACAAACCTCAACTAACATATTTCTCTCTTATTCCATTCTTCCATCTACTCACATGCATTAATGTTATCATGTTTTATGCCCCTGTCCTTTTCAAAACTCTGGGCTTTGGAAATAATGCTCCCCTCATGTCTGCAGTAATTACTGGAGGTGTCAATGTTCTTGCTACTTTTTTTTCCATCTTCACTGTGGATAAGTTTGGAAGAAATATTTTTTTTCTTGAAGGTGGTGTCCAAATGTTTATTTGTCAGGTGAAAATTGCAACTTAACTAATAATTAATTCTTTATATTTACCATTCAAATTGATCTATTTTCCAAGAATTGATAATATAAATGTTATGATTACTGATTGTAGATTATTGTTGGAAGCATGATTGCTATCAAGTTTAGAGTTAGTGGTGAAGGCTCATTTACACATATTGAAGATAATCTTCTTTTGTTCTTCATATATTTGTACGTGTCGCATTTGCATGGTCTTGGAGTCCATTGGGATGGTTAGTTTCTAGTGAAATATGCTCTCTCGAGGTTCGCTCTGCAGGTCAAGCTACCAATGGTTTTGTGAACATGTTGTTCACCTTTTTCATTGCTCAATTTTTTCTTACAATGCTTTGTCACTTGATGTTTGGACTTTTCTTCTTCTTAGTTAGCTTTGTTATTATAATGACAATTTTCATTGTCATGTTTTTTCCTGAGACAAATAATGTCCCAATTGAAGAAATGAATAAAATGTGGAAGTCTCATTGGTTTTGGAAAAATTTTGTTCTAGATGTTGTCGTTGATTGATCTATGGTTTTTTCACCTTTTTTTCAGTTGATTTTAGTTATAGTTTCTTTAGTTTGTCAAGTTTTTTATTTCATTCTTCTATGTTTTATGCATTGGTTGTGTATTTTTTTTGTTTTCAGACTCAGTTGAATAAAACCCGGAAAATCAGTGCAAAAGTGAAAATTTGGATATTTGGAGGAAGTCTCAAAAACCATGCTACAAGGTACCTAACACGACCACCCGTGTCACTTGACATGGGTCGTGTCAGGAGAGAAAGCACAACTTCAATTTGGAAGAGGCAGAAGCTGACATGGGTGACCGTGTCAGCTTACACAACCCGTGTCAGAAGGTCTAGGAAAGAGGTGTTTGTGGAGCGATGGACAGAGGCCGACACGGGTGCCCTTGTCAGGTGACCAGACCTTTGTTGGCCAGGACACTAATTTTTAGCATTTTTATGATTTGGGACCCATAGGGTGTTTTGGGCATTTTTTGATCTAGACAAATGGATTCTTCACTATTTAGATGAGTTTTGAAGACGAATTAGGGACCTTTTTGCAGATAAGGAATTCCAAAGTCTAGGAGTGAGGATATGAGATTCTTGAAGAACGAATATCTTTCATGAGCGGACACGATTGAAGACCAAAGTTCCTTCATATTTTGTAATGTCTAATTCTTATATTTTTGTAATTCTCGTGAACAATATGAACGACTAAACCCCCCAACGCTAAGGGGTGTCCCTGATTTGAATTTGTAATGATTATGAATTCCTGAGTTCTTTAATAAAGTTGTTTTCTTATTCAATTTAATCGTGCAATATTTTTATGCTTTCCTGATTAGACCACTTAAGATTGATTTACAGTTAACAACCAGCTGGATCGTAGTTGTTAAGGTTTTTGTACGATTAGGTTATAATAGATATCACTTAGGACTAGGGATACTTTATAGTTTCCAGATCACTTTTGATAAAATAAAGGCTTGACTCCATCAGATATCTATAAGGACTTAGAATTTAGGATGGATGGTTAAAGGTTTTCTCACTAAGAACTTAGAGGATAATAATCTACAGGGCTGGTAGTTGAATGTTATGAACTTGTTTAAGAAATCAGGATTCAATGTCGCTATAGGGAAAATTACACACAACACCCTAGCATGTTCATCATATATGTGAAAAGCCATAATTTACATTCTGCATATTTTTAATTTCTATTAAGTGACAATTCCTAAACCAAAACCCCAATTAAGTTTTTGTTTAATTGAATCACAAATTGAACTCAATACTGATATGCAGTTCTTGAGCTCGACATTCAGGGAATTTCCCTATTATTACAAAGGGAAAAAATAGTACACTTGCTATTTTTCCTATCAATTTTTTGGCGTTGTTGTCGGGGACTGCCTAGTTATTGAGTGTAATTTGAGTTTAATTAGAAATTTGTTGCTCTGTAACTAAAATTCCTTTTCTGTAATTTTTATATTTTTGTTATTACTGATTTTTCCTAACCTTTGCATGCAAGGAAAACCCTCAGTTGAATTTCCTTTTGATATACAAACTCAGGTTCAGAATCAAAACCCGAAATTATAGGTGAAAACCCACCACCACCAGAGAGACTTCTTGGGGATTACGGAGGAGCAAATGATCCAGCAGGTCGGTTGACTATTGTGAATCAACCGGTCAATGTTGCAAATTTTCAACTGTATCCTTCAACCATCCACCAACTCGAGAACAGATCTTTCACCAGAAAGATCAATGGAGATTCCAATAAGCATTTGCAGAGATTCCTCACCATGAGTACTGCTTTGAATATTGAGGGAAACTTTGAAAAAGCCAAGAAATTAAGGATGTTCATGTTCACGCTTTCTGAAGATGTTGAAGAGTGGTTTTACTAATTACGTGCTGGGAGTATTACTACTTGGGAACAGATGGAGAAGACTTTTCTTGATGAGTACTTTCCTGTTTCTATTTATATTCACAAAAGATATGACATTGTGAATTTTAAGAAGAAGGAAGGAGAATCACTAGGTGATGCTTACAAGAGGTTCAAGAGGTTATTGCTAGCTTTCCCCACCCACAGAATGGATCAAACTTAACAAATGCAAATGTTTGTGACTGGCTTCCAAATGAAGACAAAGCGGCTTATTGATACAGCAGCCAATGGCTCATCTGACTTTACAACAGCCACTGGTGTGAAGAAGATTATTGAAGCCATTGTTGCAAATGAGCATCTAGAGATATATGGCAGAGTTGTAAGCAAACCAGAGGGAGTGATTGATTTGAAGTTGGAAGTGAATAAGCAACAAAAAATTGAAGAGGCTATTGCTGCAGAAATGGAGAAAAAAGCTGAAAGCAATGAACATGGGTACTCAACAGGTAGCTACAATTCAACAAGTACACAAGGCAGGTTGTGAAATATGTAGTGGACCACACATGACTGTCAATTTTCTTGCAACTCCACAACAAATTGAGGACATAAAATTTTTGAAGCAGAATAATCCATGTTCTAACACCTATAATCCCGAGTGGAAGAATCATTCTAACTTCTACTGGAAAGATCAACAACAACAAGCTCCACAAAAAGTAGAATGGGAGGTGGCTATTGAAAAAATGGTTGCCCATACCTCTCAATTTCAAGAAGACACAAGGAGTATTTACAGGAATACCATATCTGCAGTTAAAAATTTGGAAGTTCAAATGGGACAGATTGCACAACAGGTGGCACTGCGAGCACAAGAAAATCAGAAAAGTCATAAGAATGTGAATGTTGTCAAAACAAGGATTGAGAAAGTTGCTAGAGAAAAAGAAGATGAGGTGAAGTTTGATGACAATATCATAGAAGTAGAGCTGGAAGAGAGAGAGAGAGAACAAGATAAAACAAGAAGAAGTGGTATCACCTATAAATCCATTTGAAGAAAAGACTAAACCAATTAAGTTGTCGTATCCATCTCGAGTTGCAAAGAAGGACACAAAAGAGAAAGATTTTGATAAAATTTTCCAATTGTTCAAAAATCTAGAGATCAATATACCATTCTTTGAAGCACTCGAGAAAATGTCTTTGTATAATAAATTCATGAAGGAGGTATTATCAAAGAAGAGATCAACAAGAGAGGGATCGATACCTGTAATGAGAAATTGTATGTAATTGCAGTTGAGAGGAAAATATATGTCAAGAAAAAGGATCTAGGGTCAGTTGCAATACCATGCACCATAAAAGATAGAACTTTCAAGAGGGTTCTGGTTTATTCTGGCTCTAGTGTAAGTTTAATGCCATTATCTATTTTCAAGAAGCTCGGTATTGAGAAGATAAGCGGGAGTGGGACAAAATTGAAATTTTCTGATCATACCATCAAGCAGTCATATGGAATAGTTGAAGATGTATTAGTAGAAATTGACAATTTTGTTTTCCCAGTTGATTTTCAGATCATGGACATACCTGAAGATGAAGAGACTACTTTCATTCTTGGTCGACCATTTATGCTGACTAGTCGATGCAATTTTGATATCGAGACATGTAATCTGACACTAAAATCATTTGATGAGGAGATAACTTTGAAGGTGTTGGATACCAAAAAGTAGGGTGCAGGTTAAAAAAATCAAGCTTCATCTGGTATGATCAAATTAGCAAGAGATAGCAGAAGTTTAAAATCACCGCCAAAGAAAGTCTCCAGCATAAGCTCTCAGGTGGCATCAACAAAAATTTCTAAGTTCATTCCAACAGTCAAGAAGAGAAAGAAAAAGAAACTCAAAGGTGAGAAGACAAAAGTTGGAAGGGACTGGAAACACAAAGTGGTAAATGTTCTTGATCTAGATGAGTTTTTGGTTGTAGAAAGGACAAGCAATAAGGTGTGGAAGAGGAAGTCCATAAGGGGAAAATCGTCGAGCCATGCGACGTTAAATAAAGCGCTTCATGGGAGGCAACCCACGCTTCTAATAACTTAGTTTTTCCTTTTGTTTAGTTTGTAGGTAATAAAAAGGGAGCCTTATTGGTGAGAGCTAGGAGGTAGCAGCTGGTGTTGCAATACCCTTTGTGAGTCACCTTTCTCGAGCTTGTTCTAAAACATTTGGGTCAATGTTTAGTTCAAGTTTGGGGGGGGGGAGGGGTTACTGCTTTGCGATTTATTTTTCTTCTATCTTTCAATTTATTTGTTATGCTAATTGCTGTGTAAATCCACGAGTTGAAGTCCTTCCCAAATTTTGCCGAAAAATTAAGTTTTGTTCAAGAGCTTATTTCTCATAGAGTTCGGGAATAGTATATAGAGACAAATGGATGGTTGTTCAAGGGTAGGAAGTTCAGAATAACGTGACGGTGATACGAGTCTAACATTTAGATTTGTACCATAGTGCTTGAATCCTGAGAAGTACTCCTTGAGTAGTTTATCTTTACAGTCTTGCATAATATAAATTCACATGCACGTTTGATTGGTCGAGAAATAAATAAAGTTGGCACCAAATGATTAAAAGGCGATAAAAGGCAATTGGCTCGCTAAGTTGGGTAGCCCTCACCAGGTTATTCCTCCCAAAGGGGGTTGATCCCCAAACGTCGTCCATAAAGGATAATATATAAACTGAATTTTTTTGAAAATTTCATCTGAAATTAAAAAGGAGCAAAAGCTCTTATTTGGTGCTTGAAAAAAATTTCTTGATTATTTTTGTGCACGTGATGATCATCAAAAGTTCCCATTAACTTAATTTAACTTTCCGAAAGAAAAAGGAGGAAAATCGGAAAAAAGACTTAAGTACAAAGCATAGTTAGAGAGGTATCTGACGAGGAAGCTCGATATTTAAAGGTTCTTACACAAATTCTCCGCGTCATGCGAATATCGGATAGACTTCTTTTTGATCAATTTGAATGGACGTCTAACGTATGAGTATCGGGCTGCAGTGATTTTCATGAGTTCTTGTAATGGTTGCTTGAGGTCAAGCAACAATTTAAGTTTGGGGGAGTTTAATCAGTGGTTTTTCCACCTTAATTTACAATTAATTTTAGTTATAGTTTCTTTATTTTGTCAAGTGTTTTATTTCATCCTTC